TTTATAATAATAACCATTTTGATTAGAGATCGTGCGACTTGACCTCACACATGAGCAGAAGCGTTTCCTCAGTGGAAAATCTTACTGACATCCAACCTTGCCAAACATTCAAACTTGCATGTCTGTTAGAGGGGACGTGAGGTTACACACTGATTGGTTAATTGCATGTTGCGCCCAAAACACACCCCTGCTTTAATGAAGAGATCAAATACAGCCCTTTTGCTACTTGCACAGGTGCTGGAACCATTTTTCCTTGTCGTCAAATTACCAAAATGAGTATGGACACACCCAAACATTACTTTCTTTCCCTCTGAACTGAGTGGGAAAGTACGTTCAAACTTTTGACTTGTAGTGCACCTTGAATTGCTTCCATAAACTGGCAGTAAGCTAAGATGTCCTCCTTAGCTATATTGTATCTTTTGGCTTTTCCTGATCAGATGCCCAAACCACCTCAAATATCAACAGTTCTATTCCAAGTTGCCTTTTCAAGATCACTAAAAGAAAAAGTGTTTAACCTTAGCCAGAAGTCTCAACTGAAAAAAGCTGGGTTTGACCACAGATTTCATCTGTTCATCCAGCTTAAGAGCACTCTCAAATACCACCCCAAGATTCTTCACATGAGGCCTGAGATAAAATGGTAAATGGACTGTATTTATATAGCGCATTTTTCCACAGTGTGTTGCACTGGCCAAAGCACTTTACAGGAGATCATACACCATTCACCCATTCACACACACATTCACACACCGACGACAACAAGGCCAAAGAGCTAGGAATGTCAGAATTAGCAAAACCTGAGTTACCAATTAAAACACATTGTCTTACTTTCATTAATTATGTGATAACCATGCTTTAATGTCCCTCAGGCAATCCATCAAGGTCTGTAATGAGTTACTCTTCTTGACATTCAATGGCAAATAAATTTGAATATCATCTGCAAAACAGTGAAAAGACAACCCATATTTCATTTTTTTTAAAAATCAATCCTAGGGGAAGTAAATACAAAGAAAAGAGGATGGATCCATGAGGAACACCACAGTTGAGAGGAACAGAACAAGAGAAATCATCAATGTGTACAGAAAAACTCCTATCAGACAAATATAATATCAGAATTGCTAAGTGGACAAAATATTCAGGTACAATCTTCTCACCTTTAGGCACTGCTGACCAACACTTTCACCTACTGAAATGACAAGTCATATCTGCTGTCAGCATGTAACGTTGATTCTGTGAGTAACTTGATAACTGGCCAAAATTTTACTTGTTTGTTTGCTCTTTACAGTCGGTGTCTGTACTCAGCCAATAATTGTTAATGCAGGAGAACCACCAATATGCAACATCACTGTACAACTGTGACTAGTTTATGTAGTTTCAAATACACCAGAGTGGCATGTCTGCAAAATCTTATATACCATTCTGATACACAAACTCAGATTCACCAAATTCAAACTTGTCGGTAGAAACATCACAGATACACCCATAAGCCTCCATCCACCAAAGAGTCAACCATTCATACATGTGATCTCTGCTCTGTCTGAGATAGTGATAGTCAGTCCCTTTACGGGTTTTTTTGGAAAAGACAGACTTTATATGCTGAGTTAGCATATTACAATCTAGTTCATTTAGTTCCAGCCATTCATTTCATTATACAATTATTTTCTTCAGAATATCAACACCACAGAACAGCTAATCTGAGGGGGTCTCCAGGGTCAGAGACTGAAACTCCTGTAGAAATAATGGGCCTTTTCTTGCAATTCCATATAAAACCTCAAGTGTATTCCTGTGAGAAAGAGCACTGCATTACTCTAAGCGGTCTTCTCCTTTTTCCCAGGTGTCACATGTTCAAGGATTCCACTACAGCATTTGACCCTTGCAGGTGAACCACAACTATTACAGTGGCCCATGATTTATGAACTGGACTACAATGATAGGAAAGTGTTCATCACATCCAAGCCTTATAAGCACAAATAAACCAAATGGGAATTTCAGCACTTCAATTGCTTATATTACCGCTGACACAGACAACACTAATGCTAGAAGAGGAGCCCCTCCCCTGGTGCTCCTCCTGAGGTTTCTCATATTTTTCTCCATTAAAGGGTTTTTGGGGAGTTTTTTTTCTTACTGCATTCAAGGAAATAAGAACAGGAGGGTCCATCAGGCAAAACTGTGATTTACAATAATGGGCTATATAAATACACTTTGACTTGACATTTGTCTTTTCCCTTTTGTCTGTACCCTTCTTCAACTCCTGGTCACATATTATATGACTGATGACAGGTGAGAATGTGAGTGTGAATGGTTGTCTATGTGTGTCAGTCTTGTGATAGCTTGGCGACCTGTCCAGGCTGTTCCCTGCCCAATGTTGGCTGGGCTTGGCCTCAGGCTCCCTATGACCTTCTGTAACTAAAGTGATATAGTTAATAAATGGATGGAAGAAAGATGGTTTGAAAAAAGAACCACAGAATAACCATTACGGTACAGATCCAGGGATTGACATTAACGGTTGCCTGCTTGCAAATAAACTCTAGTCGACATGTGGAATGCATCATGGAGATCCCCAATCGGGCAAGTGAAAAATATAAGGGATAGTCTAACAATTTTTTCGTGTTGAAAACAACTTGGTTCTCAGTTTGTAACGACAGGAAGCATTTCATCCAGACTCAAAGAGGCAAGGGAGTAAGATTAGTGGATCAGAAAATATGGTTTTGGTGTATATGAAGCCGCTTCTCCTCTGTCCATGTTGGACCAAGAGTAGCGCTGAACTTCTCAAAACAGAGCAAGAAGCATCTGAAATGCTGCGGTGGAGAGCAGGGCTGCAGGTGAAACATATTACTCAAGGTGATAACACCTATGTTTTATACTCGACATGCAAAAAAACGTTATCAATGCACCCGCTAAACAAGCATAGATTTGCAGAGCAGTAATCGTGTCAGTTTTGCCCTGCAATCTCTCATCCACCGCTGACACATTAGCTATCCAGCCCCTTGAGATAATAATAGTTAACTGTTTGGATGCAATGTTGATGCATCATCAAAATGGTCAGCAGCGGTTCATACACATGGATCGATTATTGAGTAATAGGCCCATGCTCACATGTAATCTACTAAGTGCAGTGCTTAATTTGTAAATTATGAGGTCCTGGAATATGATTTGAAGGGCCCACCATGTCAACAGGGGTTTTTCCATTATAAGAACCTACCAAAAGGTGTTGCACCGAATAAGGCTCATCACAGGTTCTGCGTTTGCTTCCACTACGATGCACCCACTTTGGAGATACATTCCGGGAGCTAGATTTCAGCACCCCTCAGGAGGTAGTATTAAAATCTCTGTGTGAACAGATAATTTCATAGATATTTTCATGATCAGATTAGCATCTAAATATATACATACACATTTATAAAAGATGTGTTACTGTAGATTTTAGTAAACAACTGTCAGTGAGAGGGGTGCCCTTTTTCTGAAGTTGAGCACCTGCCCCCCAAAATGTCAGTGCACTGCCCTGTTTCTGTGTTTCTGTGCTCCCAGTAAATTCTGGATGATTTTTGTCAGGGTGAATTCCCCAAAACTCTACATCCCTATAGACAGGTGTAGGAGCTGGAGGGAGGGGACAGGGCTGGATAACTATGAAGATAGCCTCATACTTGAGAGATGTGAATTTCTACAACCATACCATTTAAATTCAAATTATTAATTTTCAGCCTTTGGCAGGTAGTAGAGCTGTTTGTCCATCTCTACATCCCCAAATTGTGCTTCCTATTTCATTCAGTTTTGTTTCCTTCATTTAATGGGTCAGAGACTATTGTAACTGCTGTACAGCTCTCCTAAAAAAAAGGTTATTCTGCATGAACGCAGGGTTAGACTGGGTCTTGGATGTTAGTCTCTGTCTTATTCTGAAAATGTGAGCATTCCTATTGTTTGACTTTATTAATAACACCCTCTGGGGTGTGTAGCTAGGGTGAACTGCCCTAATGTGGGACGGTTTTTGCATTTTGGAACTCTGGAATGTACTGAGACATGAAGCCAGTATAGTGAAACCGCACCCGGTTGGCTACCATTCTGAAATCCCCAGGATGTGTCCTAGTCTGACAAAAAGAAAAAAATGCCGATATAAACTTTAACTTGATTTGACTGTAGTTGCATGTATATTTTGTCTCTTTTGTTGTGTAATGTAAGTTGATACATCATCAATAAATTGTTCCAGGCCAATGTATTTTTTCTGCCAAAATATCCGATCTTCCAGTCTAAAATCCAGTTTTCTTTGTTGTAGCATATTTTATTATTTCAGTAACTTAAAGTGCCCATGGCTGCTCATTTTTCTCATTTCCAGCCATTTAATGTTTAATCTTTGGTACCTCTAGATTAGCCTGGCACTCCTCATAACTGCAAATAGTGTGTATTTCAGAAAGATAAAACCACAAAATGCACTGTTGCATGCTGCTAGTTGACTGCAAGGTGGGTATTGCTAGTAGATACTAAGGGCTTTCGGGCATTCTGTGCTGGTGGCTCAACCTTCCCGTACTCTTTATCGCATTACATGTTTCATGTAAGAGGAAGCCACCAGGGGTCAGATTTAGGTCCCTGCAGAATTCATCTGCAGAGGGTTGTCCTCCAATTCTGAAAGATTCTGTTCCAAGTACAACTTCTCCATGAGTTTATTTTCCACTACATGCATCTGTGCTTTTGTGAAGTGTAATGTTCCAGTGATCTGGTTCAGTGACACCAATACTACACCTGACCAATATTTCTTGGTTACAAATTTTAAATCAGGATTCCTCTGTGCTCACCTCCACACCTGTGGTGTACATGTAAACCTATGCTAATGACTATCTGGCCTGCACATGAAAGCATCCAGGTGTTGCAGTTGCTCAAGGACTATCATTAGCAGAATTTGTGGGCAGTTTGACTTGACTGGGTTGTTCTAAAACCTGTCATTTAGTGGAACTATAGGAATTTTAGGGTGGTAGAAGGTACAGTTTTTCCTGGTCAATAAAGGTACTTACTGTTGTTGGATGTGCTGTTGGATGTAATGTGGTCGCACAAGCTGGGGGGCCGGCTTCATGGTTAGTTTCATGTGGGCCATGTTGCTAGCTGGTGGGGAGGCGGATTCATAACCAATGGAAGGCAGTTGCTGAGGTGTTGGCCACTGGGGCACCACATTCTGTCCCTTTGTGTGACCGGTGGGGTGCTCTTGGGTAGGTCCATTCCCAGGCAATGCTGGAACAGGGTGTGTAGGCACAGTCTTCTGTTCGCATGCCTTCCCTTTTGAGCCAGGCTTGCAGACACAGAGCTGAGGCCTGAGGCACATTCCTCCGTTCTGGCATTGAGGGATACAGGTAGCTATAACACAAAAATCCAGACAGAGGAGAAAAGAAAAAGGAATGTGAAGAAGAGATAGAATGAGTGACAATAATAAGTCACGCATACAAAAACATATGGATGGGAGATATAGATGCCAGCATATAGAGATGTAAACTTGACTTTTCATGATTTTAAGTGCACACTCGTGTACGTTGCATCTCATTCATTTACGCATTCAATTGTTTCTACTATTATAAATATTTACATATTCCTTATTTAAATATTAAAATTTATTTAACATTGCAGTAAATATCCCTGTTCCCCAACCTCATCTCTTGTTTGTCCTTTCTCTACATATCCAGCATACCTATGACATACAGTATGGGACCAGGCGCAGTCTTGACTAGTGATTTAGTAAACATGAGGCTAACAGAGCAGTGTTTCCCAATCTAAATAAATTCTTTACATACTCACCTCACACCAGACAGGTAACTAGCAGGCAGTCAATAGCTAAGTGTAAATGAGAGAGAGCTGGTGAGCAGAGCGGTTAATCTCACATTTAACTTTCAAAATTGCTGGTTTATTCTTATCACGTTATCACCTGGGACCTCTGGAATTCAGGACTGTGCAGCAGTCTGTCTTTGAGGCTAACATTAGCTTAAGCAGTCAAAGTGCAGAGTTGTCACCAGTATCTTTAGGAATTGTCAATGTGATATCAAATATTGTTGCAGACACAACTTTCACAGCCTGACATGGAGGAGGTGTGGGTTCAAAGCTATGTGATCATCCAGCAAACTCTTCTGAAGAAGCATACTTGCAGCATAACCTGCCCCTCAGACAAGCTAGAACAATGCTGGCCTGTCCGTTCACTGCTCACAGAGAGACTAAAATGATACTTAGTCCACCATGGAACAGTAACAAGCCATATAGCAAAGTAACAGGTAGGCCATAAATTTCATATGTTGGAGGGCAAGACCATTTGGCCTTCAATGTCATATACTGTATTTTCAGAGGACACAGAGGCCAGTCTACAAAAGGACGTGTGTATGGGCAGGTGGTCATTTTTAAAATATGCAGTAAATTCTCTTTAAGTCTCTCATTGCACTTTTTTTCATTTTTGGGCCTTTTATGACTATGAATTAGTGAGTCACAGAGAGGTGGACAGGAAACCGCCGACACACAAACACGAGGTAGGAGCTTCTGTAAATTTTGAAAATCAAACAGTATTTACCAGACTTTAATAAAAACAAACTTTGAAAAACACAAATCTAAACCAACCAGAAAATAACTCTGCCATGAAAACTAATTGAAATTTAACATAACTTGAGATAAATAAATCTACATAAACATCTACAATTCAGTAATCTTTACCTACTAGGGGTGTGACGATACACAGATCACGAGACAAGATGATACACAATATTATATTCACAAGAACGAGATATTTTAACACAATTTTTAAGAAATCTTCAATGACAAAATATATGACTGGAAAATTTTAATTGACTGAAAATCAAAATGTAAAACAATGCAGTTAAAGTAAAAGACAATATACAAGCACTGTAAGAGGTTTTACCACAAACTTGTATGATTTTACATGAGTCTCATCAGACCTGATAACTGAACATGAGCTTAAAACTTCTAGCCCCTTCAGACTGAGTTTCAAAAGTGCGAAACACAGCCCTCTCCATTCATTTCAATGGAGGATTGCATTCACCGCAGCCGGTATTCTATGAAACATTTGCTTTTGAAATTTTCTGGCAAAATGATGCAACCCCATGTGGCAAACAAGTTGGATCTGGTTCAACTTTCACCACATCCAATGGTGACATCATCCAGCAAAGACTCTGTGTTGGCCAATCATGTATGGGGATGACCAGGATGTGGACCTGACATCAATACATGTTTACCTTGTTAGCATGAGCTGCTATGCACTGTTGAATTTGGGCCGCAGTTAACGCACCATGACAACATGCCATTCATTTTTGGTAGTACTGGATACTAAACAGTGCTTTTATCTATCAATAGCGACACAATGGTGGTAGAACTGGCGCTATGGTAAAGTAGGCTACGTTAGCAGCGTGGCTAATCAAAACACAGTGGAAACTCCCAGGCTGGAAATGTGAATGAAGACACTCGTGTCAACTCGTCATAACGTGGCCATATTGTAAGCACCTACAGCACTTCCCCTGCAACCACTCACCCCCCAACCAACACAGCCCTTTGCGTTCAAACACACCAGGGAGTTGTTTTAAATGTATAGTAACACTCAGTCATACTGTCCTGGTTCTGTTATGTACTGATATTGCCTTGATGAGCCTCCACTTTCATTGCAAATGCTATGAGAAGAGATACAAGAGTCCAGGAAATAACTATTTCATACCAAGAAAATAAGACACACATTTCAGGTCTACAATGTCCTTCAGGTGAGCCAACACTAGTCTTTTGAAGGACATCTTAATTACAGATATCAGGGCAACAGGTCTGTAGTCGTTCAGTCACAGTGAGCTGGGTCAGTTTGGAGTGGAGGATGTCAGGGATGATGGTGTTGAATGCCAAGCTGAGGTCCACAAAGAGGGCCTGTGCATAGGTCCCTGGGGATTCGAGGTGTTGCAGGATGTAATGCAGTGCCAGGTTCACTGCACCGACCTGTTTGCCTGGTAGGTGAACTGCAGGGGGTCTACGGTGTCCTTCAGGTGGGCCAACACCAGTCTCTCAAAGGACTTCATAACTACAGATGTCAGGGTGACAGTTCTGTAGTTGTTCAGTCCACTGATGGAGGTTTTCTTGGGGACTGGAATGATGGTGAAGCATTTGAAGCAGGAGGGGACCTCACACAGCTCCAGTGACCTGTTGAAGATGAGTGTTTAAATGGGGGCCAGCTGATCAGTACACACTTTCAGGCAGGAGGGGGTCACACCATCTGGGCCTGGTGCCTTTGCAATCTTTGTTGTTTTTTTTTTAGAGAGGCCACGCACATCCTTTTTACAGCTCGTTAGAGGTGGGGGGCTTGAGGGAAGGGTGGTGAGTGTCGGGGAGCGGCCACTGGGTCTCAGGTGGAAGGGGGGCGGAGTATTGTCTCTTAAACCTGCAGTAGAACACATTCAGGTCATCTGCTAGTTGATGGTCCTCCACAGCAGGGGGGGATGGTTTCCCTGTAGCCAGCGATGTTCTTTAGGCTCCTCCACACAGACAAGGAATCGTTGGCTGAAACCTGAGCTTTCATCTTTTCAGAGTAGCTCCTCTTTGCTGCTCTGATCTCCCTTGTCAGTGTTTTCCTGGCCTGGCTGTACAGAATCCTGTCCCCACTTCTGTAAGCCTCCTCTTTAGCACGATGAAGCTGCTTGAGTCTTGCTGTGAACCAGGGCTTGTTGTACCAGATATTTAATGAACATTTACTGTAGGTAAATGTAAGTATCGAACAGAATTCAGTATCAGCAGATACTTAATATTAAAGGACTCGGATCAGTAGCAGGGCCACAAAAACTGGATCAGGATATCCCTAGTGTAAATACAGATTTAAGTCACAATGGCCATTTTACAAAGCATTAAAAATCCAATATCCATCTAAGCACTCCATTGAACCAGAAAGTTTCACAGCAAATTTTGTTTATGCTAGCAGTTTAGTAACATAATGTTATCAGTTGCTACAGAGACAGTTATGGGGTAAGACAGCTTTCAATAATATGCACTGGTTGTGCATAAATTAATAAGTTGTACATAACTGTATTTTCATAAACTCTTGTATATTTAGGTTAGATGTAATACAAATGGGCTAGCTATATTTCAATAACATTTGTTTCATTGATGATTAGTGATTATTATGACTGTGGGCGACTGTGTTTCAGCGGGTAGAGCAGTCCTCCCCGCATCGGAAGGTCGGTGGTTCAAATCTCGGTGCCTGCAGTCCACATGTCAAAGTGTCCTTGGGCAAGACACTGAACCCCCCCCCCCAGTTGCACCCGATGGTTAGAGCCATCGATGTGAGTTGGTGCCGCAGATGGCTGCCTTGGTTCTGTACCGGAAACAAATTCCTTGTGTGTAAACATACTTGGCCAAATAAAGGTGATTATCCTTGTTTGGGGTCCGTGGTGGAAATGGGGGGCTCTCCAGTTGGCTAGCTAGCTAATAGCTCGCTAACACCTATTCCACTTGCTGCCGGGTCTCAAGGCATAACTTTACAGCAACGTTCACTGTACCAGAGTTCAAACATGATAATTCCCTGGACAGTTTGAATGCTGGCAGCAAGATGTGCGTCTCCTCCGTGCTGACACAGAGAGCTCATGGTAAAGGTAAGTTAGCTGTTAGCAGGCAGCTGCCTATTCAGCTTTCGGGACTGAATGTCATCACAATTTTTATCAACATTTAAGATCATGAACATGGTTTATCTAGAAGTGTGTGGGATAAACTATACAGTATGTTCTCCTCCTAGAATGAATATACTTTTGAATATAACACCACACTTAACTTTCCACTTTGAGTGAAATATTTTTTATTTCTTTTCTGACTAGCATAAATAGTTTCCACCCCCCAAATCTCTTGCCTGGAGCTGAGGCTGTTATGTTTCTCTCCTCGTCTCTCTCTCTCATACTGAGGTCAAGCACATAAGGGCTCTGTTCTGCAACCAGGGTGATGGACTAAGTGGTGGTAATTTACTGTAATTGTTTGCTGGGAACAGGAAATACATCAGTCACAGTGTTGCCCTAGCCCTTTTCATCAAGCCACACTGGGCCTGGCACACGGGGGGCCCTCCACAGCCATGCTGAGGTTTGCATGAGTTAAAAATATTTTGTGTGTGTGTGAGTTTGGCTGTGTTTATGTGGCAGGGGGCACAGTGATTTACCTTTTATCACCACCTTGATGCAAAACCTTAAAAAGTGAAGGAGAAAAAGAAAATTGCCCAGAATTTATGAGTAACTGCAACATCCCTTGCATGGGCCAGATGTTCAGCAAATTCAGAAGCAGGTGGCAGTGGAAAGCTATGACACTGATATATGTGGTACTGAATTCCACATTATCGGAGTCACTGCTGGACCTTAGTGTTCAGATTAGCTCTGATAAGACTGTCCTCTGAGAATATATGGGCCTCACTAATCCTCTAGCTGACAGTTACTCTTATCTTTGCACTGGCCAGGAGGGAGGCCATAGAAACCCTATAATACTGAACATCCTAGTTCTTCACAGTAATGCACTGTGTCAATGACACTGACCAACTCTGAAGAATACTTAGTAAAATTGCTTCCTGTAGTGAGCTACTACCTTTCATCGCAGGAAATCATTCTATTGTTGAATAACTATTTCAGAGAGTTTGTGCCTTCAGTAGTGTTTAAGTGGAATGGGTGTGGACATCATCCAGATATGATGCCCACACCCGGTCACATCTTAATGTGACAATGTATCCAACAACTCAGTGTGAACATTTACTGCAACTTCCACTTAACTTTATAACAGCTGCATTCAGCGCACAGCCCTCCACTCTCAGTGCTGCTACACAGTAATGGGCTGTGATGGCCACAGGGCAATGAGCAGCAAAACACTCGTTCAGCAAGTAGCCAGGTGTTCTAGCCAACGCACATGGTGGTGGGTGACTGGCAGGTGGGTCAGGATTAGATGACACTCTTATTTTTGCATTTAGGTTTTGTAACATGTAAAATGAATTGGATGAGAAATTAAAAAAAAACTATATTTACTGTGACAAATGCATCAGTATGTACAGTAATTGTCCAGATTTATTTAATAATAATACCATTTGATTGGCTTTATTCTATTTTTATTAAAATATGCCTGGATTGCTCCAGATAGTGCCTCAGGACCTCTCTAATGTCAACTAAGGCAGGTCCTGCATTACTAATATGATTCCTGTGTTGTCAAGGTAATCTTCAGTAACACTGGTTTACAGTATGTATACCCAGTTATAGTGGATGCTGTCCACATTTGACCACTTTCTTCCAAGAAAATAAACTGAGCAATTCTAAATTTACTACTACAAAGATGCTTTGTCTGCAAGACCTCCATGATGCATTCACATGGTGGATTTGACAAAGCAGTATTCTGCTCTGCAATTCAATTATCCATCCCATTTGACTTCAACCAGTCTAAGGGAGGAACTGGAATGTCTCTGGGGTCATTTCTTCTGAATCAGTATTGTATCACCGAATCACATGTTATCAGCTGTGGCTGTCTAGAAAATGAACAAACAAAAACTGTGACTACAGCAACAAGAGGTCCAACATACTGACTTTGTAAAGCAAGCCTTTGTATGCAGCTCCTCAGACATGGAGCTGAAATTGCATTCTGGTTTCTTTGGGTAGATTTAAAGCTTTGTTGCATAAAGTCAGTGCTTCAACAAGTACTTGCCTCTGTCAGGGTGTTTGTTAATCCTATTTGTTTTAATGCTTTAAAACAGTGCATCTGACTTTGAGCTTTTCTCATATCAGGTAATGAGTGAAAAGGTCACAGGAGCAAAGGTTCTGGGGTCTGAACTAACGTTCCGAGATTTAACGTGAGCAATTTAACGCTGCAGTTTAGGAACAGACTGTCTTTATCCAAACTGAGAAGGTAATGTTACCTATTGGTAACATAATGCTTTTTGCTTGGGGGAAATGTTTGTTGTTTCAGTGTTTCCTGACTTCGTTGGCAGAGTTAGCTACATATTTTACAGCAGATGTCGCTCTGTGTTTATCCACCAAAATCCGATCCATTTCAAAGGTAGTGATATCGTGTAACCCCTCTTATACATACTTTATCATTATCCTGTGCAGCCTCTCTCTGGCTACGTACAGTCATCTTTCATTTTAGTTTTTGCTTAACAATTAGCTATTACATTACAATTAGCTACTAGCAAGCTTGCTATGGTTAACCCGGTGGTGGATGACAGACTGCAGGCAAAGCTGCAATTATATCTTATGCTCGTTTAGCAGGTGTTTTGATAAATTACTCTTTTTTACTAGAGGTTTTATTGCACATACAGTAACAAGCTTAGGTGCTGTCAGCTCAAGTAATGTGTCACCTCACGCGATGCGAGCAAAAAACTGCTCACATAAACCTGAAAAATGGTGCTAGAAAAGAATTCTAGGAAGGTATTAAAATAATTAGAATGTGTCCTCTATTGGCTCACCAAACCTTTAGCACCACCTATATTTGTGCAGTAGGGCTAGATAATATGGCCAAAAATATTGTCAACATTTTTTTCATACTGATCCTTTTCGATTATGACTAATAGATGAAACGATTAATGAGAAAGGACACACATTCAGCATGTTCATTAGACCTCAAGGATACATACAGTATATCATGGTGAGTACCACTGAATGCACACAGGGTACCTTTTGTTTATATTTTCAAGGTTGATGCTCAATTTTGAACTGAATCCTATACAATTCACTAGATCTGTTATGGTTCTAAACAATCACTTATTTTTGGATCAATAATTTGACACTCTGTAACCAACACAGTAGAATATTTATGCTTATTGGACTTATGTAAGGCTGTGTTTTTTTTATTAGTAAATGTGTTATAAACACTTCTCTGTAGCGCTCCTCTGTTATAGAAGACACCACAAACTGCCTGTAGTATAAAGATTAAAGCTTAGACAGCACCAGAGCCAGGTCTATGAAGCACAGAAAGAACATTCAAACAGATGGGAGCAGCACTGAAGAAACTTCTTAAATAATGAGTTGGCAAGACCCTGCAAATAAGGAACTCATCTGGCCAATGGATCTGGGCCAAGAGGCATTCTCCATCTCAAGTCTGTTTCTCTTTCAGTCTGAAACACGTACTCATGCCATTCATATTCACAACCCTGACATGGGCCATTTACAGTTGCCAGTTAACTTAGCCTGAATGTCTTCAGACTTTGGGAGGAAACACATACCTCAGCAGGTATAAACATTCTCCCTGGAAGGCATTCTCATGTAACTTCATGTAACTGACAAAAAGACGACAACGATGGTGACTGAAATTTGCAGCTGTAAAATCGATCAGTAGATATACAACACATGGGCTGGTTAAGAACATTTTTGTGTTTACTCATAATGTCCCCCAATTCCAAGATGATGGTGCCTTCATATGAGAGCAGGGAGACATGAAAATACATTGCGCAAAGCAGACTGACAACTACACTGACAAACTGCTTTAAGAACTTAATTCTTTGTTCATTCTTTGATGATGATGATGATGATTTGATGAAAATATTTCTGAAGTTTTTAATCAAAATAATGGAATACAATATAATAAAATATTCTAATTTAAAATAATACATTTGAAAAAGCCTCTAAATCAAGAAAAGAGTGTGTAATGTAAAGTAAAAGAGAAACTACAACAACAAAGTTTCAGTTTCGGTCAAGCATTGCAAAAAACATGGATTGGATACCTGGAACACGTTGTCTGCCACCCAGTGATATATTGACTGGACCTGCTTTATTAATATGAAGACCTTACTGTGTTGAAAGAATATTTGTGTGCACTTACGCTTTGTGCACCGGTGCGATCCGTGAGCTTTACTCCATCCATGACAACACTGCCCTCCACAGACATTCACCCTGCAAACAGAAACCAAACAGAGAAAAATGCAATAAGCAGACATGTTACCTCCTTTCTTCAGGTGCCAACCTCAGCCCTTCCTACACCTGACTGGATGAACGCACCTCACACCGGGCTGTCATTAATCTTTACCTCTGATTTTGAAAGAGGAGGCAGTTTCTGAACACATCTGAGGTAAGAAATAGGCCACATCAAGTTTCATTTGAGGTTTGGAACACCTGCCTTTATTTGAGTTATGGTTCATGGGGTTCAGGGGGTTTGAGACAAGTCATGTCATCTTCTAAATGTTTTACCATAGTTGTCTAATTTTTGGCACAAATCTGCTGGGCTCCACTGATTCTCACCGGATGTTTTCCAGACTTGAATGCCATCCAAAACACAGCTCATGAGATGTGGTTTGGCCTTAAAATGCTAAATATGACTGGGAAGGCAGGAATTTTCTAGCCTTGCGCCAACCTGAATCTCACAAACTTAGGTTTACTACAAAGCTTTGGTTTGAAAAAGGTCCACAGAGACTGGATTGCATCAGGCTGTTGGAACCCGGACCAACTTGGAAAATCACAACTCACAAAGAGCGTGAGTCACTGCCTTAAGATAGCAGAGCCTTACAAGTTGGTTTAAGATACAAAATAAGTCTGATCCCTGCAACAGTAGATTGTTAGGTATTTTTAGTCAGATAGATATTGGATAGATACTTTATGTATTAGAAATGTTGAGTGGAGATAGGATGTCTAGTTAGACTGTTAAATGCTTAGTCATGCTCATGAGTTTCTACAGGGTACATCTGGTCAAGGATAACTAGAGAGAAGAGTTGATGATTGTCAGCAGACAGGGTGTTTAATATTATTATTATGACGTGTATAACTGTAGCCTTAGCCATAATATGTTCTTATGTTTAAGTCACGACATGTTACTAGAAGTCGTTGAGAATGTTTTTAGCTACACACCACTTAATCAACAGACACACACATTGATTTGCTTCATGTTTTGACTACTGCTATGACCAGCTGCAAAGCTGGTGAGAGAGACATCTCGGTTGACGTTTCTGTGTAGTATGGGGCTAGCCCAACCGAGGGGATATAATGTATAGGCCTGGTGGGTTCAGGGTCTTTCATCTTACATCTGCCTGCGTGCAGTTTGGAGGTGCAAGATACTTGAGCGTGTAATGTTAATTTTACCTGTGATCCTTTGAATAAATCAACACTGTTTTGAAGTTACTTGGACTGCCTCGTCTCTCAGAGTTAGCAATGGTAAGATGAACCATATCCTACAAGATGTAGAGACTGATTTCCTTTCAAAAAGCAGACAAATGTATGACAAGGGCCCACTGAACACAAGCTAAAGCTGCATTGAACCCATTCACACTTGTCACAGGTCTTTTTCTGGTTGTCACTGTGTAACATCTGTACATTTGACTGATAATCCATTGAAGTAAACTAGATTTACACTGGAAGTGAAATGTTAACAGGAGTCCCTTCCATAGATGCCGACACTGTACAGTAGGTTATGGTTCAGCATTATTTCTATAAAGAATAAAACCGGCTCCAAAGTCTGTCAAAAGTTTCGTCAATTGCTGTGGCTGATGCAGCTCATCTGCAACCTGGAAAAATAACAGTGGTAATGAAAAGCATAGTTTCGATGACAGTAGACTCAGTGACCCATAACGACAGAGATACAACTTTTTCAGACATTTCTACAAATTTATAAAAAACGAAAAACTGAAATCTCCCATTTATGAATGTATTTAGAGCCTTTGCTGTGGCACTCTAAACTGTGCTGCTGCACTGTGTTTCATTTCATTCTGCTTAAGATGTGTCTAGAATATGAATGGAGTCCACCTGTGACAAACTGAACTGAGCGGACAGGGTTTAGAAAGGCCCACACTACATATCAGGACATACTAAACAAAGCCATGAAGTTTCTATAGATCTCTATAATAAAAAAGTGGTGAGCACAGATCAGGGCAAAGGTATAAAACCATTTCTAGGCAAGGCAACTTAATTTATAAAGCACAATTCATACACAGAGGTAATTCAAAGTGCTTTACAGAGGCAAGGAAAAACAGTAAGCTTTAAGGTCAGTGTAAAGTAGAAACAAAATAGGTGTTCTGAGTTTGTTATTAACCACCCAGACAAATTGCCAAGTATATAAAATTAGCTTTCAAAATCATGAAAAAATGAGTATTATCTGCTCTGAAACGTTGGGGGCATGTCAGGTGAAGACAGTGAAACCACACCAAATTGCAGAATGTGCCTCCTGTTCTCAACATGGTGCATTAAAGTGGCATGCTTTTCTGTGTTTTCTGACTTGCCTACAATGTTACAACATTGAATTACCATCTTATATGTGACTGATAGCTAAAAAAAAAAAAAGGTGTACCTATGATGTTGTGCTTCTATGCAGAAGCAAATCAGTTTATATACATGTCACACAAACTCGCGAGACTTTTTTTCTAACACAAAGTATTACGTGATAGTTTAAGGATCGGAGTGATGAAAAATATGGTTTTTGTGTTTATGGAGCTACATCTCCTTTGTGTTGGTGTTTGAATGAGAGCGGGTGATGTTCAATTCCTACACACATACACACACGGAGCAGACGGCTGCTGCCACACCAGTTGAGACTGGGAGCCAGTAAATGTACATGCAATAACGCTGGCTGAGCTGCTCGTTAGGAGGCGGAGAAGAAATTTCAACGGTTCATGGACATTTTAAGATGAGGGATGGTGACGAAAGTAAAGCCAACTGTGAACTCTGCTTCTCTCTGCTGTGCGTCTGTGAGTGCCCCCCCCCCCCCCCTCCCCATCTCACACAGACACAAGGTCACATTTTACAGATACATCAATGTTCAGTGTGTGCAACAAACCAACAGTAACAAAGAGCATAATTAATCAAATACTTGTTGAACAAGCTGACCACAACCCCAAAACTTGCAGAAATGCAAAGTCTTCACTTACTGTGGTCAAAACGCCTTGTTGATCAAACCCATTCAATACTCATTCTGCTGACTGTAGTGAATTGTTGAGAACAAGAAATTACTAATTTTATGTAGGTAACGAGGCAGTCTAATGAGCTCTGTGTATGAAAATGAGTTGAATCCTTGTGGACTTGGAGTCTGAAACCAGCAGCTCTTTTACAGCAGTGCAGATGTGTGTCCATCAGAGAGGACAGGATGAAGCCACAAACAGTGGCCGGCTTAAAGTAAGAACACAAGTGATATTATGCGCTCCTAAACCTGTTGTTCTGGGTGGGGTTTGTGAAATAATTTCATCCTAACAAAAGGTCACACACCTTAAAAGGCTAAAAACCACTGTATTGCAGTATGTTGTGTAGTGATATCACAGTAAGTAGCACTGTTGCCTCACAGCAAGGTTCCAGGTTCACATGCCGGCCGACCCGGTGCCTTTCTGTGCGGAGTTTGCATGTTCTCCCTGCCTGTGTGGGTTTTCTCCGGGTGCTCTGATTTCCTCCCACAGTCCAAAGACATGCGAGTTAGGTTGACTGGTGACTCTAAATTAGACTTCATCTGGAAGGGCATCCAGCTTAAAACATGCCAAGTTTAGCATGTGCATTGTCAGTTGGGTGGCAACTGCTGATTTGCTGTGGCGACCCCTAATGGGAGCAGCCCAAAAAGATCTCCAACTTGTCCTCACAACCACAGTTTTCGCTCCTTTAACATGAGTTTTCACTGAATAGTGACACATTTGTCCTCTTCCTGTCAGTGTAACTATGGAAGCAAACAGATTCACAGAAAACTGTGTTGCCCACAGTCTGGACAGTTACTTGCAGTGGCCTGAATGGGGGAGGGTTGTTCACGTGCTGGTGAGAAACTCCAAAACAAAAGTCAGCTGTGAAACAGCACCGGATTTATGGGTCACCCATCTCTTGTCTACAAATTATTGAGGGAAAAAAAACTTAAAGAACTGCCTTGTTTTTTACATCCAAGTCACCACATATTCAGATATGGCACATAACCTGCATCAAAGAAACATTACTGGCAGCATAAAACCCAAAGAGCAATAGTGTTCCGTTGTTTTAGTTACAGTGGCAAGAAAAAGTATGTGAACCTTTTGGAATTTCATGGTTTTCTGCATCAATTTGTCATAAAATGTGATCTGATCTTCATCTAAGTCAAGAGTACTGATGAATATCATGTGCCTAATATAACAACACAAACAATTCTGATCTTTCATGTCTTTATTGAGAACAAACATAAAAACCTCATAGTGGTAGTGGAAAAAGTATGTGAGTTAATGACCTCAAAAAAGCTAATTGGAGTCAGGTGTTAGCATACCTGGAGTCTTGTTAAGAAAATGAGTTTGGAGGTGTGGACTAGAGCTACTTTGACTGATAAAAACCATTCAAACCTTTTGAGTTTGTGCCATACAAGAGGAGTATGCTTATGTGAGCCATGCCTCGCCAAAAAGAGCTTTCCGAAGATCTATGATCAAGAATTGTTGATTTACATAAAGCTGGAAAGGGTTATAAAGTGATTTCAAAGACTTAAAAAGTTCACCAGTCTACAGTTAGGCAAACGATCTACAAATGGAGACAAGAAGTGGATGCCCAGTCAAAATGACCCCAAGAGCACAACGAAGACTCATCAATGAGGTAAAGAAACAACTTTGAGTGACAACCAAAGATTTGAAGACATCGTTGGAACTGGATAACATCTATATTCATGAGTCTACAGTACGTAAAACATTGAACAAGCAGGGTGTCTATGGCAGGACACCATGAAGGAAGCCACTGCTTACTAAAAAGAGCATTGCTGCAAGCCTGAAGTTTGTGAAAGAGCACATTGACACAGCGGTATTGGCAAAATGTTTTGTGGACTGATGAAACTAAGATTGAACTATTTGGAAAGAACATGCAGCACTACATATGGCATAAATAGGGCCCTGCACATCATCATGAAAGCATCATCCCGACCGTAAAGTACGGTAGAGGAATGATGATGAATGAGTGTCTTCAATAAAGACATGAAAGATTAGAAATGT